AAAATTAATGATATTGTAGTGAATTTATTGTCTTAAAAAATTAAATTGTAATTTAGTTAATTTAATTAGTAATTATTAAAAAATCTGAAAAATACAGATCAATTTGTTTATTAAGTAGCATAAACAATTATTATAAATTTATAAAATAAAAACATCAATATTTTTTTGATAATTGGAGGGAATTTATTAAGGGACTATCCACCCTTGAAATGCCCCAACTCTAAATAGTTTTTTTAGTACTTAACAAATTTATATTTATTTATTTTCTAAAGATAAGCTATTTATTTATATTAAAACTCAATTAGTATTTATATTTTTGTTTAATATTAAATTTTACATAAATGAAAAAAAATTTCTTGAAAATTGGTGGGAATTTATTAGGGAACTAGTGGAGTGCCCCAACTGGTGTAAATAATGTTAAATTGATGTAATTAAGTATTTTTATCTATTTATTTTGTTAAGATAAGCTATTTATTTAAATTAAAACTTAATAAGTATTTATATTTTATTTAATTTTAAACTTTACACTAATCAAAAAAATTTGGGGCCCCCTAACTTTTTGGCTTTAGGCCAGGGGGGGTAAAACCTAAAAATCTCGACCTCAGGGGGGGTAAGATGGCCTTACCCCCCTACCCCCCCTTTCGCAACCCTATATTTAATTATATTACTATATGCAATTATATTATAATAGGGTGATTCCGGGTCTGGTTTGTGGCAATATATGGATGAAAAGGCTGTCCTAATCGGTGTACACTCTAATAGTCTACGATTTGATCTACGAGTCAATTGTACGGCTCATCCAAACATTGGTTACGCCGTCCGGGTTTCCAAATATATAGATTGGATACTCAATTATATATACACTAAATAAAAACTTTAAATTAAATATGATTTTATACATTACTTTATAGATATAGGTATTCAAAAATGTTTTATTATAATAGTTATTTAGTATTTAGTATTTAGTTAATTTGTTTAGTGATTATACTTTATATACTATATATAATAAAATTAAATAAAAATTTTAAAATATAATGAATAATACAATAATAGACTGTATAAATTGAAATATGAATTTTTTAAATTTGAAAACAATATTATAAACTATTATTCAGTAATAATTAAAAACTATTTTTATATAAAATTGTTATTAAATATATTTTATCACTTAACTTATATTCAAGATAAAAACAACTTATTATTTTTTGTTTTGTTATATTTTTATTTATTGCATTATTAATGATTTAATAAATGTTTAAAGCAATACAATCAATGTTACAAATTTTATGTAAGTATAGTAATATAATTTAACTAAATTATTATATTTTGCTATATATTTAAATATTAAATGATTGATTTACTTATTAATTTTAAAAATCAAAACAATATCTATTATAGAAATATATATAAAAATTATTGAGCAATTTTTTGGTTTATGTGTGTGTATGTGTGTATGTGTGTGTGTATGTGTGTGTGTGTGTGTATGTGTGTGTATGTGTGTGTATGTGTGTGTATGTGTGTGTATGTGTGTGTATGTGTGTGTATGTGTGTGTATGTGTGTGTATGTGTGTGTATGTGTGTGTATGTGTGTGAATGTGTGTGTATGTGTGTGTATGTGTGTGTATATGTGTGTATGTGTGTGTATGTGTGTGTATGTGTGTGTATGTGTACACATATCATACATACACACATATAAATTAAACATTTAATGTTTTTATTAAAATACTACTGTAATAATTTATTATACAAATAGTATAAATTAACTAAATAATAATTAATCGCTATTATAAAAATAGTTGTAATTAATTGGAGTATATAAATGTTAAATTTTTTAATAAATAATAATAATAATAATAACTTTTATCATAAAATATTTGTAATTAATTATAAATTATGTTTGATTTTTTATAAATTTTTTAAAACATCACGATTAAATATTATTATAAACAGTATTAAATTAATATTATTTGTTGGTTTTAAAATAATTAATAGTTTATCAAAATAAATATAAACACATCAATGATTTATATTACATTTTTTTCTAATTATAAATCAAATTGTCAAATCAAAAATGTAATAACATATCCATTTAATGTTAATAATAAAAAGTATAAATACTATGCTATAAAAATTTTATTTTACTAAAAGGTTTATATGTTTTTTGAATTAAGTTTTAATTAACTGATATACTAACATATAACTATATTGTTTTTTTGAGTTAATTAAAAAATAATGCATAACATTATGCATTATTATTATTTCAGTATTGGTAATATATTATATTTAATATATATAAAATAAATAATTTATATCCATATTATTTATACTTTTTTTTGTTGAATAACTTTTTTGAATAGCAATCATGTTTGCAATGATTTTGGTTATCGAGTCTAACTCTACCGACTCTAATGATAATGAAAGTCAATGGTCTAAATTGGATAATGCTATCAAACAGTTTGATAGCGATTACAAACAACAAAATGTTGCTGAATTTAGCCCGGACAGTTTTGGATTGGAAACAATGGGTGGTCAAATAGATGGTCCGGTAGATATTGTTCCGGTAGATAAAACAACTGTTAGTTCATCTTCAGCATTGGTTGAACAGGGTATCGATGATGTGGGTAATCATTTAAGAACGTCCATTACATTAGTTAAATATGTCGTCGAAGTTAACAAATTTACTGATGATAATGATAATAATAATAAAACTGTCAAAATGGTTGGCGATAAAGATTTAGTTAATTTGATACACAATCTAAACAATAACTACAATACTATTGACGGACTGGCCAAAAACCCGGAACACCATGCATTGTTGGCCGAATTCAAAACAATGACCAAAGCGGCCGACTATTTGGCGCAGATCTTTGAACGCTATTCGACTAATCCGACGGCCGTAACCTATGGCGAGTTAACCGATCACTGCACTAACAACGGTATACTGGTTTCGATGTACTGGTTGGACGATATGGTCAATGAAAAGACGGTAGGAGAAGGAGGTGGAGGAGATAGACAGCTAACAATCAAAAAGGTTATGTCCGAAGACAATGATTTAAATTATTTCACTATTTGGTCGAAAATTATTTTGAATCGGATGATCAAATCGACACTAATGCACGCCATATGCATTGGCATCAATTACAAAGACATTTCGGTAGTCGAGAGCACTTGGATTGGCGGCAACGGTACCAATAGTGGTGGCGATCGGCAAATAATTACCGATATAGCCGACCGGATCATCGCTACATTCAAAAGCGGTTTAAATCATATCAAATACGACTTTTGGACCGAACGGGCGATCAGTGAAATCGAGGAATTGGCCAACAAGTGGACAGACAAAAGTCACGACGAATTTGCCAGCGATTTATTCAATTATCTGAAGAAAAAATACTATTGGCGTGAATGGCTAATAACTTCTTGGTTGTCAATGTCTCAGAATGACGAACAAAACCAAGGAAATGGCGGTAAGTTTTCAAAAATTTTCTATCAAATAGGCGAACGAAATCTGTTTGTCGGATCGACTACCGATTCCGATCGGGATATGGCCGCCGAAACCGCAAAATGTGTCAAAGATTTGGAGGACAACACTCGGGGCAATTGCTACGACAGCACCAACTTTGTGTTTTGGACGGACCGGTGGATAAACTTTAACTGTGTCTACAAACACTTGTCTAACTGTTTTCAAGGAATCGATGGTATGGTATTCATTAGATACGATAGCGGATGTCGTTCCCGATATTCTTCAAAATCACTTTTGAAACACTATTTCAAAATCAATGAAGACTATGAATTTGATCTGTTATTGATACCAATTGATGTCTAGAAGTTACGGCCAAAGAGAAAGACAACAAACAAATGTATTACACAAACAAAATGTTTTACACAATCTAATCAATTAACGCTAATTATTTAGATTATATTTTTCCTAATTATCACTTATATATTGCACTTAATTTACTAAATATATTAATTACAATTATATAAATATGATATTTGTTTATTTTTTAAAATAATTATTAACCTGCTTTTTATTATTATTATTATTATAATTATATAACTTAGTAGTTTATGCATAAAATATTATATAATAAACAGTTTAATTATGTAAACCAAATATATATAACAAATAAAAATTTTGCTTATTTTCATTGAATATATGTTTTAAATTTTTTTTTCTCATAATAGACAAAGTTTTTTGATTAGATATTCTCTCTCTCTCTCTCTCTCTCTCTCTCTCTCTCTCTCTCTCTCTCTCTCTTTCTTTCTTTCTTTTTTTCTCTCTCTTATATATATATATTTGTATATCTGATCCAAATGTTTGTCTAGTGTCCCGAACTTTGGCCATCAGTAGATCACAGATAAATAATATGATGTCATCGATGAACGACTTGTTGGCCGCGCACTCGTCCATCACTTGTTGGATGGCATCGGTATGATTGACACACAGATTGGTTAGTATAGTGAGAGCACCGGCTTTGATCTGTTGGGACTCCTGTAGATCGTAGGAACAGTAGTTAGCAATCAGGTTGACCAGTAAATGTACGAAACTTTGGTTGCACTGATTGGCCGATGACTCGACCAGTGCTCGGCACAGATAGGCGTCGTCGCGGATCAGTTGAATGTAAGCCATAAGCGACCACTCGATTGTCAGATAAGTGTTTCGGTTTTTTATGGACGCAGTTATTAACTATTTTTTATAATTCAAAAAACATAATTATTTTTACATCCCTTTCTGTTTACTTAAAAAAGTTTTTTATTGAAACAACAAAAACAAAACCAAAAAAACTTACCGAACATTCACTTTTCATGGTCTGGTCAACAAATTAGCCGAAATACTCTTTCAGCTTACGAATGGTGGCCTCGAGATGTGCATTGTTTACCGATTGTTTTGTGACAAACGAATGGACAAATCGGGACAATTGACTGCAAAAGTGTCGGCCGACAGACACTTATTGCCAACAGTCGGAATGACTTACGTCGGCACATATCGGCCACCGATCGGATCCGATCCACTGATCCTTGATCTGTATATCCGATCCAAACGTTTGACTATTGTCCCGAACTTTGGCCAACAGTAGATCACAGGTACGATATTTGATGAACACTGAGTTGGTCTCAACAATGAACGATATGTTGGCCAATGCGGTACATATGAGTAGAAACAGATGTCGATCGGCTATTGTCTGGTGTCGGACTAGTTGTGTCAAACAGTTAATCAAATCGCTGGTCAAATGTTTTGTGTGCCACAGGACGGGCATCTTGTGATAGGAGTAGTTGTTATTGCTGTCAGTGTCGGCACCGCTACCGCCGCTATTGTTGTCATCGATAAACTGTTTGATCAATTGTACGACTAGTTGGACGGCCTGTCGGAGAACAAAATCGTCGGCCGACGACTCGTTGGTCAATATAATGTCTTCGATGAACGACTTGTTGGCCGCGCACTCGTCCATCACTTGCTGGATGGCATCGGTATGATTGACACACAGATTGGTTAGTATATAGTTATTACCTATTTTTTTATAATTCAAAAAAACATAATTATTTTTAAATCCTTTCTGTTTACTTAAAAAAGTTTTTTATTGAAACAACAAAAACAAAACCAAAAAAAAACTTACCGAACATTCACTTTTGATGGTCTGGTCAACCAATTAGCCGAACAACTCTTTCAGTTTACGAATGGTGGCCTCAAGCTGTGTATTGTTTACCGATTGTTTTGCGACAAACGACTGGACAATACAGTACATTTCAATACAGTATTATTATATAAATATGATATTTATTTAGTTTTTTTTAAAATAATTATTTTGCTTAATAATGATTTTATATTATTATTATTATTATTATTATTATTATTATTATTATTATTATTATTATTATTATTATTATTATTATTATTATTATTATTATTATTATTATTATTATTATTATTATTATTATTATTATTATTATTATTATTATTATTATTATTATTATTATTATTATTATTATTATTATTATTATTATTATTATTATTATTATTATTATTATTATTATTATTATTATTATTATTATTATTATTATTATTATTATTATTATTATTATTATTATTATTATTATTATTATTATTATTATTATTATTATTATTATTATTATTATTATTATTATTATTATTATTATTATTATTATTATTATTATTATTATTATATAGTTTAGTAGTTTATGAATAAAATATTATATAATAAACAGTTTAATTATGTTAACCAAATATATATATATTATTTATATAACAAATAAAAATTTTGCTTATTTTCATTGAATATTTAAGTTTTAAAATAATTATTTTGTTCTCATAATAGACAAAGTTTTTGATTAGATATTCTCTCTCTCTCTCTCTCTCTCTCTCTCTCTCTCTCTCTCTCTCTCTCTCTCTCTCTCTCTCTTATTATAAATTATATTTAAATATCAATGATATAAATTTCATTTAAGTGTATAAAAATGTGTATTTATTTTAAAAATAGCATATACTGTACAAATATACACAATTGATATATTTTTTTGTTAGACAATAATTTATGTTAAATTAAATAATTTTATAAATTCTATATACAATGTAATGTTAATGATAACTATAACTATAAATTATTATTATTTTTAAAATTAATAACAAACTATAAATATATTTATTTAATGATAAAATTTTTGTTTAAATATACAAATTATTATATAGTCTATTCAATAGGACAGTTAGCTTTTCAGTAAAAACAATAAATTCAGACAACTGTCTCATTTCGCTCGGAATACATGAGAAACGTTTGGTAGGCTTTCGGTTCAATAAGATCTGTGGCGTCCAACTGTTTGAACAGTTGTTTGTCTACCGAAGCCGACAACTTTCGCAGACAAACAATAGCGGCCAACAGTACTGTATCGGAAAAGTTACGTTCTTTGGCCAGTTTGCACAGTTCGGTCAACCGATGGACGCCGTTTAGTCTTGCAATAAGTCGTCCGATTGTCCGATCGTTGGCCAATCGGGACAGACAGACACAACACTTTTGTTGGATACGTTCGACGGCCAACAGTTCGGGTATGTCGTGCAGATTGCCGACTGGCCTAACCTGTAGTGCGCACAATACGAACACCAGACCATTACATTCGACCACTTTTTCGGGTAATTTACGTCCAATGTTGGCCAGAATTGTAATCAACTGATCCTTGATCTGTATATCCGATCCAAACGTTTGACTATTGTCCCGAACTTTGGCCAACAGTAGATCACAGGTACGATATTTGATGAACACTGAGTTGGTCTCAGCAATGAACGATATGTTGGCCAATGCGGTACATATGAGTAGAAATAGATGTCTATCGGCTATTGTCTGGTGTCGGACTAGTTGTGTCAAACAGTTAATCAAATCGCTGGTCAAATGTTTTGTGTGCCACAGGACGGGCATCTTGTGATAGGAGTAGTTGTTATTGCTGTCAGTGTCGGCACCGCTACCGCCGCTATTGTTGTCATCGATAAACTGTTTGGTCAATTGTACGACTAGTTGGACGGCCTGTCGGAGAACAAAATCGTCGGCCGACGACTCGTTGGTCAATATAATGTCTTCGATGAACGACTTGTTGGCCGCGCACTCGTCCATCACTTGTTGGATGGCATCGGTATGATTGACACACAGATTGGTTAGTATAGTGAGAGCACCGGCTTTGATCTGTTGGGACTCCTGTAGATCGTAGGAACAGTAGTTAGCAATCAGGTCGACCAGTAGATGTACGAAACTTTGGTTGCACTGATTGGCCGATGACTCGACCAGTGCTCGGCACAGATAGGCGTCGTCGCGGGTCAGTTGAATGTAAGCCATGAGCGACCACTCGATTGTCAGATAAGTGTTTCGGTTTTTTATGGACGCAGTTATTAACTATTTTTTATAATTCAAAAAACATAATTATTTTTACATCCCTTTCTGTTTACTTAAAAAAGTTTTTTATTGAAACAACAAAAACAAAACCAAAAAACTTACCGAACATTCACTTTTGATGGTCTGGTCAACCAATTCGCCGAACAACTCTTTCAGCTTACGAATGGTGGCCTCGAGCTGTGCATTGTTTACCGATTGTTTTGCGACAAACGACTGGACAAATCGGGACAATTGACTGCAACAGTCGAGTGTGTCGGCCGACAGACACTTATTGCCAACAGTCGGTGTATAGTCGCCGCCGCCGAATGACTTACGTCGGCACATATCGGCCACCGATCGGATCCGATCGAACAATGCGCGCAAACAGTAATCGTGAATTCGTTGCAAACGTTGCCACTTCTGTATCGGCAGACAGTTGTCGATAAAGTGGTCAATAGTGTCGATAATACGGGCCGACTCTCGTCGAATGTCGGCAACTGTCGCGTGACTTTGCCGAATGGCCATCAGTTCGGCCGAGTAGTGTTGATGGTTGTAGTGATGGTCACTATCGGCGGTGTTTTTGTTTAAGTTTTTGTTTTGTACACATTTGGCCGACAGTGCGGACAGACACTCGTATTCGGGCGACTTCTGGAGCGATAGTAACCACTCTTTTATCGATTTGTCTTCAAGTGATTCAATAGATTTGATAAACTTTGTCTCCATTTTTACTTATTTTGTTTTGTTTTGTATTATTGTTTCAATGTATAACTAAAATAATTAAAATAAATAATTTATTTATTATAAAATTAAAAATAAAATAATTTTAATTAATTAATTTTAATTAATTAATTTTAATTAATTAATTTTCTAAACTTTTAACATTTAAAATAAAACTTTAAATGTTTAGTTGTTTTTTGTTTCTCATATACAATAATGATAGCTTTATATTAACTAAATATATTGTCATTTATTTTGCTATACTTTTTTAATATTTTGAAAGTTTTAAAATTTTTAAATCATTTAATTTGTTATTTTCAAATATATATATATATATACTATCTCGGTATATAAATGATTAAGTTTTTTGTTGATAACTAACTATCATATATGCCAGTAGTAGAGTAAATGACAGGAAATATCAATTATATAACCAAAAAGGAAAGACAGTTTTTTTAAGGCGATATATATAAGTAAAAGTTGTGTTTTATTTTTGTCGGAAAGATATTTGAGACACTAATGTCTCATTACATCCGTGAGAGAGTACAGATTGAATGTTAGAGAGAGAGAGAGAGAGAGAGAGAGAGAGAGAGAGAGAGAGAGAGAGAGAGAGAGAGAGAGAGAGTTTGTCTTAAATTTAATTTATTTTTAAACTTCAATAAACTTTATATTTTTTATTTTTTTTGACAGACATTAGTAGTAAAAATAAAACTTAATAAATAAAACTTATTATATATGAGATAAAAAATTACTCAAAACAGTAGACATAAAATATACAGAATATATATATAATACATATCATTAAAAAAAAGTATAGAAAGATATATTATTTCAAAATATTTAATATTTTTTAAAAACATAAATGACTTACCAATGAATATAATGATGGGTTATTAACCAATAAAAAATAATATATTGATATATATATATATATGAGATATACACTATTATTATTATTGTTTTATATATTTATTATAAATATATTTTAAAATATTAGTAATATATTTTTTCACACACAAAATTTTTATGATAACATATGCTATCATAAAATGATACACAACAAAAAAAATATAACCTTAAAAAAAGTATTGTATTTTTTAAAACTTCATAGACTTCTTAAAAGTTAAAAATCTTAGGGAAAAATCTTATATAATATAACAGAGAGTTTCCTCTCTCTCTCTCACACATACAGTATGGGAACGTCCGTCTAGTTTGGAGTTCAAACTATGAATGAATGTATAGTCTAAGGACATACGGGTGCTCTCAGAGTCTCTCTCTCTCTCTCAGTAAAAGGTGAGTTAAAAACATACGGCGCTCTCGTCCCCCTCTCTTTCCTTTCTCTCTCTCTCTCTCTCTCTCTCTCTCTCTCTCTCTCTCTCTCTCTCTCTCTCTCTCTCTCTCTACTCTCTAAAGTAATTTTTAATGAATGAGTGAATTTTGAAAAATAGCAGATTATTGTCATACAAGTGAGTGAGTTAGTGAGTGAGTGAGTGAGTGATAGAGAGAGAGAGAGAGAGAGAGAGAGAGAGAGAGAGAGAGCAAATCAATGAATGAATGTATGTATGAAACGTCTGTTTGGTTATAGTAGAGCGCATAACGCGTGCAGCTGTCGGTATGCCCTACAAGCTGTAGGTGCACAACAACACCAGTACACGTGTGGCCCCTTTAGGAGACGCGTGCCAACAGTTGTTCTATTGACTGGTGGCGCGTGTCTGCTATGTCTATCCAATACTATCTTAATGTATCTCTTTATGACTTTCTCTCTCTCTCTCTCTCTCTCGTCCGTGGCTCAATGGTGTACTGAACTAAGGCGTCGGCTGTTTGCACTTGTTGCCTGAGAAACAACATAGAGGTACGACGTCCGGGGATCGATTCCCTGGTGAGCCACTGTTGTTTATTGCCATTTCAAATATTAAGTAACAGCTAGTTTGGGTACAAAGAATCGTCCCCTTACCAAGCTGACTTACTGTTTGTAGGTACTCCTCTAACTATGCTTATGAGTGCTATACGCATGCTATGGGTAATAATACAAAAAAAAGGGGACAGGGTCTCCAAAAAGTGTACCATACATACTATGTGACGTGCACTATAAATCCTGATCCTTTTYTYTCTCTCTCTCTCTCTCTCTCTCTCTCTCTCTCTCTCTTCACTAAAGGCCTTATGACTGAATATAATTGGATGTATTTTTATCAATAGCTTAACTATACATAAGCGTGGCTATGGTATGCATATATCACATATTTACTGGTAGATCCCGGAGCCTAACAGGCAAAAGGGCCGGATGTATGTAATATGTTTGTGAATAGCGCTACTGTTTTTATTTTTGACCGAAAATAAAAATTAGACAATATTTAAAATATTTTTAGCCCTAAATTAAAGCTCAAACATTTACTTTACTGTATATATATAGTAGTTTTGTTACAATATTTTGTTACTGTAATAATATGAACCCAAATGTTACTATTTTTGCACAAAAAAAATTATTATCGCAAAAAATTTATCACTAAATTACAAACAAAAATAATTTAGTATATAATTTTACACTATATTATATATATATCTATAATATTAATAATTCATCCCGGATAAATAAATGTGTAATTATAGCAATAAACAATATACATATATGTATATAAGTTATATATTTCTTTTTAATAATAAATAATACATTTTTTGTATTTAATATATATATATATATATACTATAAATATACAGTATATATATAATTTATAAGACAATAATATCTAATATATCATTTAAAATTAACTAAACATGTGTGTGTGTGTGTGTGTGTGTGTGTGTCTGTATGTTAATGCAAATCATACACCGGGAGCTACTCAAATAGTATTGAGACCTACCAGTCCTAAACTGATGGGTCCACCAAAAAAAAAATAATATATGAAAAACAGAGATCCAAATGTTTGTTGAATAAAACATCTGTTGGGTCTCTCAAATGAATTGCCTGATAATGTTTGGTACCATAAGTGCGGTTAGAGAGTAGTGAGTGAGTTATAGATACAGAGAGAGAGAGAGAGAGAGAAAGAGAGAGAGAGAGAGCACCTGGTTATAACTACATGTGCACACACACATACATACATGTGCATACCGGCACGCGTCCTGAAACATCACCGTCTATTGTTGTTAGTAAGCTATAGTATAAGCACCAGTGTAATCAAACCATTATTTTCTAGGTTAGACTCAGTTAGGTTTTTTGTGGTAATCCGTGAGCTTTCTATTGCTTAGTGAATTAGAATACAGATAGGTAGACCCTAAATAAAATAAAGTATAATACAGTACAATATTGTATATTATTTTGTAGTGTCCACTACATTACCTTAAGCTAATTTAGTTATAAAGTATTTTTGTATTTAAATTCCCAGTAATTTTGTATACATTTATTTTATATCCTATTTTTGTGCTAAATTCTTAGTATTGCTTTTCAATCGGTTATACAGTTACTTATACTTACCGGTTGCTGACCTCAGACCTCTGGCACCAAACTAACTGTTCAACGGTTCCCACATTCAAACTATCCAATGATAGCTAACCATTCCCTATACCTACCCGTCCTCTCAAACACTATAAATACTGTACTACAGTATACACATACTTTAGTACAGTGCCAGCCGTCATACATAGCAGTCATACTGACTCTCATACAATACTGTACTCACATCATACATGTGCTCCACTGATAGCACCATTTTAACCATACAATCCATTGTATCCTCAATTGTCTTAAACTAATCAATAAATTGTTATAATTATCTTATACCTGTGTTAATCATACCATTCATTACCATCGCTATTATCATCATTGAAACTATCACTTCAAGAGTCCAGCCGGTTGTTCACATCATTCAAGACATACATACAACCCGGTTGTCCATCAACTCTAACCTACCGTTCCGTATCGCGTGATATCAAGAGATAGGACAGACATCCAGATTGGGATCAGCTCTAGCTTTACGCTTGGCCACCACTACTGCAAGTGATCTACCCTTTTATCATCCGATAGGTCTCATACCGACCCTTCAGGTGATAATCTATAAGGAATTGGTTGATAATCGGTTGTAGGTCTCATACCGACCCACGCATAACAACCGGTGCTCTCCTATTCCTCTAAGTTGTGTTCAAACATACAACGTCAGGCACAACAATTTAATTCAATAAACTATATGCATATATACATACACACAGTATAGATAAGCTGTATATTATATAACAGTTTTTTTTAAATACAAAATAAATACAAATAATTGTTTTGTTTTGTTGAAACATTAGCATATTATCATCGCATACATACACACACACACACACATTGATGATAGATAATATGGTACCATAACCTGATGATGAAGCACCGGTAGTTTAACGTAACGGTACTGAATCATGGTATACACCAGTTTCGACAAAAGCTGGATTGACTACATGATTGATTAGTAGCTGGTTGGCCGGGTGTTGGGACACAAGAGAGAGAGAGAGAGCCGGATACCCAATATTTGTCACATCAGTTTGCTCAGTGGCCACATTGGCCGTATCGATGGACAGTCGGTAGCGGTTACGTTGTCTGATAGGACGACTATACTCGTACTCTAAATAAGCTATCAGTGTGTTCAAGGCTACGACACCCGCAGAAAGCTGGATGACCTCTGGATGGAGGCGCCCAACATTTTGAACACAACGAATACAATGAGTTCACGACTACTGTTTGCCCGCGTTGTTCGATCGGATCCGATCGGTGGCCGATATGTGCCGACGTTAGTCGACTAAACACCGACTGTTGGCAATAAGTGTCTGTCGGCGGCCGACACACTCGACTGTTTCAGTCAATTGTCCCGATTTGTCCAGTCGTTTGTCGCAAAACAATCGGTAAACAATGCACAGCTCGAGGCAACCATTCGTAAACTGAAAGAGTTGTTCAGCGAATTGGTTGACCAACTACTGTTCCTACGATCTACAGGAGTTCCAACAGATCAAAGCCGGTGCTCTCAACAAAAGTGTTG